GGAGGAGTGTAACAGTATCGATGGAGGGGGCGGCGAGGGCGGTGGCGGTGACGGGGGCGGCGGCGACGGCGGCGGTGGGGATGGCGGCGGGGGGGAAGGTGGCGGGGGCGAGGGCGGCGTGCTCGCGATGGCGGCGCCGAGTCGCCCCGAGCGGAGCACGGCCAAGGGTCTGAGACGCGGGGAGGGCGGGGCGGGAGGTCGTCGTGGGGGCGTGGGGGCGCGGAGGCGGCGTGCGGGGACGCGCGGAGGGCGTTGGTGGTGTGTGGGAGGTGGGCGAGGGAGAGCTGAGGCGGCCGGCGGTGGTGGCGGGAGCAGCGGAGGCGACGGCGTCGGAGGGGGTGGGGGGGAGGGAAACGGCGGCGGCTGTGGCGGAGACAGCGGCAGCGGCGGTGGCGAGGGCCTAGCCTGAGGGGGAGGGGGTGGGGGAGGGGATGAGGAAGGTGAGGGCGGCTGGGGCAGCCGGGAAGGTAGCACAGGGAGGCGCGGCGCACCTCTAACTCGAGCGAGTAGCGGGAATATCACCCGCTGCTCCGGCGGGATAGTGCTCCCCCGCCGCCCCCTGGGTCACCCCGAGTGACCTCGCAGCCCACGCCGTGAGGCGCTGCTGTCAGAGGGGTTTATCACCGCCGTATCCACCCCACACTGGCCGCCGAGGGGCCCGGCGGGCTGAGGCGCGCGAGGCGGCTTTCGCTCCCGCGGGGCGGCTCTACCCGTCTCAGCACGGCGTCCCGAGGTGTAGCCGTGTACCTGGCGGCAGGGCCATCACTCACGCGCCTACTCGCGGCACGAGGGAAGGCGTGACGCGACCGCGAGAGGCGAGATGGCTGATGGCGAGACAGTCGTTTGGCCCGTTTGAGGCTGAAAGGATGACCGCGGACGATGAGGGCGACGATTCATCGCGGCTACTGAGCAGGCAAGGTCCGGACCTACAGGATGGAGGGGCGAGTAGTGAGACTCGGGACCATATCTTCGCGTCGAGAGACGAAAATCCGGATTCTTGGCCGCCGGCCGCCGCCGGCCGCCGAGCGGACACTAGGGAACTGCGCGACGACGACGACATTTCTGAGGTGCTGCTTTCACCACCGCCCTTCTGGTGGTGTTTGCCGGTCGGGGGGGCGTCGGCAGCACCGCCGTTCCGCGCGGATGTTGCAAACGGTGGCTCGGGGCACCTATTTCGGCAGCCCCGGGGCGGGAGCCGAGGAGGGGCAGCCGTTGCGGTTGCGCCATCGCAGCTCGGCGGCGCGTGGGGAGCCGAGCGGCTTCCAGCGATCCCGCGAGACAGCGGCCCGCATCCGTCCCGGATGCCGCGCCCACGCTGCCCGACGCAAGCGCCAGATGGGAGAGGAGGTTGGCAGCCTTTCTGCGCTTCGAGGGAGGGCGCCTGGGTCTAAATTTAGTGCGTGTGAATGAACTTTAGTGATAGTTTAGTGCGCTATTTAGTGCGTGTTCGAGTGCGTGTGTAGTGCGACTTTAGCGCAAATTTAGTGCAAATTTAGTGCAAATTTAGTGCAAATTTAGCACATATTTAGTGTGTTTTATCTCCAATTTAGCGCCACATTTAGTTCACTTTAGGTGCGGGCAGCTGCAGTACATTTAGTGTGGGTCCCGCATCTTTAGTGCGGGCACGCACCTTTAGCACGGCTTCCCGGCCACACCACAGCTAGCCAGGGCCGCGTGCTTTGCTCCTTGGCTGCCAAGAATGCACCACAGGAGATGCCTGGCCCCTGCCCTCATGACCCAAAGGCAGGCTCCCAGTGAGGCTAGATATGCCGCCCTCCAGAGCAAGATCTCCCGACTGAGCACAGGCACAGCACCGATTCCCGAGAGGAGGACCAGCACAGTTGAATGCTTGAGGTCCTCCACCTTGGTCGACGCCGGCAGGTTGAGCGTGCCCCTCGCATCTCCCTGCTGCCACAGCAGCGCCACCATCGTCTGCTCTGCCATCGCAGTAAAGTCGTTATGTTCACGCCCCGCTTCCCGGCAATCGTTTTGCCGCTCGGGGGGCCCGGAGAAGCAGCCCGGAAAGCACCTTTTAGGCTGATATCAGCAGGTTTACTTCGCGGGATGGGACGGGGAACTTTTGCGAGTGGGCAGGGAACTGCAGGGGGAGAGGGGGAGGGAGGCCCAGCGAGGGGCTGCGGCTGGATCCTACTGCGCGGCTGGACTAAAGACGCACTAAACCTCGCTAAATCTGGATGTAAAGTCGACTAAATTTGCGCTAAATTTGCGCTAAATTTGCACTAAAGTTGCACTAAATTCGCACTAAATTCGCGCTAAAGTGCACTAAAGATGCAGTACATAAACACTTCACACCGCACTAAATTTAGACCCAGGCGCCCTCCTTCGAGGTGCAAGGAGAACTCTTGCGTTATTTAGCGGGAGGAAGCCAGGTGGGGTTTAGCCCAATGTGAGGCGCGGCGGCCCCGAGAAAGGGCCCACACACGAGTGTTGAACAGGAGCTACCCTCAAATTTTCTCTTCGCCTGCTGTGTGCTGACTGGCGCATCGGTCCAGCGCTTCCTTATTGTCATTTACATTTTGCCTAAAAGGAATTCTTCCTAGATCGTCCCGTCTCACTCACCTGGGGTGCCGGCCCGCGGCCGAAGCTGAGGAAGACCACGGCGTGGGGTGTGGGGTGTGTGAGAGAGAGATTTTTAGCAATACCAAACAAATCTAACACTCACACGTCATTTGGGGCCTGGAGCCCTGTTCACGCGCGCGCGAGACGTGCAGACAGGGTTGCCAGATGAGAGCGAATGGCGCGGTTCACGCCTCGCACAACAGAGAGAGAGATGCGCTCTGCATGGTGGGACATAAAAGAGAGCGAGTACTTGGGCGAGTAGGCCGTGCGGTCGACGCTGCCGCGCGCGACTTTGCGCGCGAGGCGGCGCAGCTTGAGAACGGCGGTGGGCGAGAAGCCGCCGCCGAACGTCTCGTGGAGCAGCAGGTTGAAGTTGTTGCGCTTGACAAAGATCGCGTGGTGGTAGAAACCGCGATGCGCCTTGACGTAGCCGTGGCCGGTCTTGTGGGAGAAGGGTTGGCCGGGCTGCCCGCGCGCCTGGTGTGTGTGGGAAGGCTTAGAAACGGCGGCGTGCCGTCGATGCTGTTTATTAATTCCAACAGACGGTGGCGAGCACTTGGAGCACTTGGAGTGCAGTAAAGAAAGAAAGAAAGAAAACACACAACCCAAGGGAGGGATTGGAGTGCAGTCATCAGCCTCACATCTGCGGCACGCCTTTTTTTTGCTTCGTTCCGTGCCCTCACAATGGCTTCGAGGCCCACAGTCACTGTTTACGGCGCGGACGGCGCGGCCGGCAGCTCGAGCGTCGCGCTTCCCGGCGTCTTCCTCGCCCCCGTGCGGCCGGATGTCGTCCACCAGGTGACGGTCGCCCTCTCCAAGAACAAGAGGCAGCCGTACTCCGTCAACAAGTACGCCGGCAAGTCATGCGCGGCGTCCTCGTGGGGCACCGGGCGCGCCGTGTCGCGCATCCCGCGCGTGCAGGGCGGCGGCACGCACCGCTCGGGCCAGGGCGCGTACGGCAACATGTGCCGCGGCGGTCGCATGTTCGCGCCCACCAAGACGTGGCGCAAGTGGCACGCGAAGATCAACGTGACGCAGAAGCGGTACGCCGCGTGCTCTGCGATCGCGGCGTCGGGCGTGACGCCGCTCGTGATGGCGCGCGGCCACCGCGTCGAGGACACGCCCGAGTGCCCCCTTGTCGTCGACGCCTCTGTCGAGTCGACCGCCAAGACCCAGAAAGCGGTCGACTTGCTCCGCAAGATTGGTGCGCACGCCGACGTCGACAAGGTGGTGGCGTCGCGCACGATGCGCGCGGGCAAGGGCAAGATGCGCAACCGCCGCTTCGTCCAGCGCCGCGGCCCGCTCGTCATCTACGACAAGGACGAGGGCATCTCGCGCGCCTTCCGCAACATCCCCGGCGTCGAGCTCGCGCAGGCCCCCCCTCCCTCACACCAGAAATCCTGTGTAAAAAGGGCAATCACGCCAACTTCTGCTAGAATGAAGCTCTTTCTGCCTCACCGACCTAGGGGAACCACCGCAAGAATCCGGAGTCATCTGCGTAACTAATAGCCCATTCACCGAAGACCAAAAGGGACTCCTCTCCAATATTGC